GATATGGTTGGATGGCCTCCGCCCGGCCGGCAAGGACATTTGAGGACGTAAATTTGGTGACCGGTGTTTGAGATGCCCTAAGGCTTACCTCTTACTTTTAGGGTATATAGGTTGCTGCAACAACTTAATGGTCACATTTCCACCTAGCAGATTCCTGTAATTCTCTCTCTTTGTCCATTTGTGCTTGTGAAACACCGTATTATGTAAATATCCTTCCAACAATTTTATTTTGTTAATATTTACCACAGCAGGTGCTAAACCTAGGCATTTTTCAGGCTGGGCTTACAAAAGCCTGGCCTTCAATAACCTAGCCCAAGCGGCCAAGCCCATCCCAAAGCTCGAAGCCCTAACAATGTACTAAGTACAAGCTCGAGTCTGGCCCGAGGAGCTCGAACACCGTTGCACAGCCATGCACGGGCGGAGGTCGACCACGACCATCTCGCCCGAGAGATGCATCGAGGGAAGGATAAAGTATGTGCCGCCGACAATGTAGGAGGCGGAGGAATTTGGGAATTTATGGTTGTGATAGTATAGTTGCACGCATCTTCGGTGCTTATATATGGAGGCTCAGGGTGAGATTTGCAGACAGTGAGACACATAAGATCTGAAGAGGCAACACGTTCAGGGCTAGGCTGGGTTTTATTTTGGACTAAAATTAAAGCCCGATTTGGGCCCAAATTTTTGATCGGACTGCAAAAACAAGCCCAATCCCAGCCCGAGACACAAGTCCGGCCCGGGTCATCGAGCCGGCCTGCCCATGCCACAAGTCTAAGAGCCTCTCCTAAAAAAAGATGTTTCGTGAGGTGCCCATTCCAGGAAGAGCTTGATGAGATGATAATCATTTACCCAATTAGCACAATTACCACCCTATTGTTGTTAATCCACTAGAAAGCTACCTATGCGTGAGGTGAGATTCATGTATACGACTAACTAATGTGTGTGCAAAAAGGACTGATCAGTTGTTAACCTCTCCTACTGTACACTAGTAAAAAATGGTTTGAAAATTAATTTAAATATACCATGCAAAAAAAATTAAATCTGGCCCAAAATTCTGAGGTTACAAATATGTTCATGTCAACCAGGGATTATGTTACCAGGCCGAAAATTCGGTTACCCACGAGAAATCACCACCGAGCAAAAAAATTCCCTTTTTCTGAATTTGATTAAATTTAGACTGGTTCGAATGAATTTTGATTGGCAAAATTCACTCAAAAAAGCGTTCGGTAACCGCCCAGTTTTTTTTGATTACCGTCAAAACAGAAATATAGGTGCCCCCCGAGATTTTATTATGCATCTGGAATCCAAAATGAATAACTAAATCTACCGGTGCTGGTATGTACCTGTAAATGCATCTAGTGCCACCCCTAGTTGGTTTTGGAGTATTGACGACAAACCTAGTTAAGGGACTAATGTGTTTATGAGAATTGCAGGATAACACAGGTAGAAGTCCCTCATTGATTCGGTTTTACTACCAGAGATGACCCCTAAAAATGTATGAAGACATTGAAGTCTAAGGTGGTATATGAAGATATTCACATTGAAGACTATGACAAAAGAAGACACGTTATGAAGCCAATGGAGCTCGAAGACTTAGATCTTTCATAGTTCTTTTGTGTTGAGTCATAGGAACCACCGTACTGTTAAGTGGGGTCCAGGAGAACCAGTCAGAATGACTGAAGTGATGCCTAAACCAAAAAACCTATGTCTTCGAGTGAAGACAATGAAAACGAATCTTGTCCAGAGCCGGACAAGTCAGCTTTGCTTGTAGCCCAAGTAAAGTTGCCATGAGAGTTTGAAATCTGACCGTTGAGACACAATTCAGTTCCTTAGTGACCCAGGGTCATTTCGGACAAATCAGGTCGGGTTGCCAAGTGGCTATAAATAGCCCACCCCCTACAACCATAAATGGTTGGCTGATCAGATTGCAGTGCACGGCTTTTTTCGTTTGAGAGCAACCCACCTCGAAGCCTTTGAGAGAAAATTCCTAGCGAGGAGAAAGCCCTAACCACCCAGAGCCAGAGTAAATTAGGCATCACTTAAGTCTTCTTGTCTGTATGATCTGAAGACTTATTACACTTGAGGACTGTGCATCCTCCAGACGGTTAGGCGTTGCGTTCAGAGCATCCAAGAGACATTGTGGATTGCCAGTGAACGAAGTCTGTGAAGGTTTGGGAGTCTACCTTGAAGACTTACCAGAGTGATTGGGCGAGGACTATGTGACCTTAGCTCAAGGAGAATACGGTGAGGACTTGGTGTCCTGAGCTGCGTGTTCAGGACTGGGTGTCCGGAACTGTGTGTCCTAAGGTTTAAATACCTAGCCGCTCCAACCAGACGTACAGTTGTCACAGCAACTGGAACTGGTCCAACACATCATTGTCTTCAACGAGTCACTGGTTTCATCTTCACTTCCTTTTACTTACTGTTACTCATTGTGAAGCCATTACATGCCTGCTATATCCTTTGTCTTCACAACGTAACTGTATGATTTGTTTGGCTTCATAACTTCTTCCTATCTGATCCCTTATTACACTGCAGCTACTTGTCATTGTGCTTTCACTCTATTGAATACTTGACCATGGCTTGTCTAGTGTAATCTAACTTCCGCTGCATAGTAATAGGCATATCTCTACTGTTTGTCTTCATAACTTCCACATTTTGAAGACTTTCATAAAAATCGCCTATTCACCCCCCCTCTAGTCGATATAACGCACTTTCAATTGGTATCAGAGCAGGTGCTCCCTTGTTCTGTGTGATTCGGTTTAACCACCTGGAGTTTTAGCTAT